ATATAAAGGTTTTTGAGAAATATGTCAATTTCTAGAAGAAAGTTTTTGTATGTCTGTATTTTTCCAATATGCTTTGCCAGTGATTTGTAGATTAATATTCTTACACCATCTTGGCGAGCATTACTTGATATCCAGAAACATTTGTAATTTAAAAGTTTTTGCAAGAGTATTGAGAATTTTGCTTTTTTGATAGATAGATGTGTTTCTGAAATTCTAAAAATATCAACTTGATTTTCTGAAATAAAATCAATTAGACTTAGTTGTTTGAAATTATCAAGAAGACTGTTAACATTTAATGAATATAATTTGATTGATTTTGTAATATTTAAATTTTCAAAAGATAAGATGTTGTTGTTTATATGTATTATAATAGAGGAGGGTTTAAGAGATAATGATGTTGTGGATAAAAGAAAGTTTTAATATTTTGAAAGAGAAGGTATTTTGAATCTTGTTGAACTATAATTTATTTTGAATAGAACATTTTGAAAGTTTATAAGATTTTCGAAAGAAATGTTAGTGAAGTTGGATAGAGAATTTATTTCCTGTAGAAGATGAATATGTGCTTCTTTGAATATATTGTTTTTAGATGTTTTAATAAAAATTTTTATATATTGTTCTGAATAGTAATTTGAATATTCATTTTGGATAAATTTTAGAAATGAATCTATTGACTGTGGTAAAGGTAGGAGTTGTAGGTTATAAAAAGAAAGAAATTTGTTAAAACATATTAAGGGATTGTATATTTTTAAGAGATCTGGAATTTGGGTAAAGGTTTTTCCTTTCATAGTTTTGGTAGTTGGTGAGTTGATAATATCATTTGGATCTTCTGTTGATGATTTATAATCAATATTAGTAGTTTTAAAGTTTGTTGGAATGTTGATAAAAATGTTAGGTATTTGTGATTTTTGAGAGGTGGATATAAAAAATTTTTCTGAAAAGGAATTCTCAAAAGGATGTAATGAGTTGTTATCTGAGAAGTTAGTTTTTTCTTCTATAGATATGCTTGTCATATACTCAGTTCTTACAGTTGCAAAGGATACCATAGTCTGTCTTGTATATTGGGTCTGACTGTCATTAACTTGATCCTTTGCATATATTAAAAAATTTTAATATATTAAAAATTATATAAATAAAAAATAAAATAAAAATTTTAAGCTAATTTTAGCTAGTCTAGTTAAAAAAATAATAACTAATATTAGCTTTTAATTTAAAAAAATAATAAGCATATTCTGTATTTATTTTATTAATTTTTTTAATAAATAAATATCTAGTTATATATAATAAATTGTATAAATTTTATTTAATTCTAATGATACTGCTATGCCACAGTTATATGATTTCTAATTCCGATTATTTTTGCAACATACTGTAGTTATAGAATTAAAAGAAAAAAAAATTCATCAAAGTTGGTTTAATAATTGTTGAGATATTTTAATTTAAAATTTTAAAAAACTTGCTAAAAATAATTTGCTTGGTTTCTATTAACACACCTCCATATTATTATATTCAGATATAAATTATTATATTTGAATATAATTTATATTTGGTTAATAATCAGATACAATTTTAAAATTTTAAATATATTTCGAATACAATCACTACAGTGATCATCATATCACATAAAATCACTGCAATGGCATTTGTTTACTCGCACTAACTATCACCTAACTCTAACTCTAACTCTAATTTAGGCCGAGTGTTTAATCATGTGATGTGATTACCACGAAGATATCACTGGGTACTTGTTCCCAAAAATTAACGTAAATGTTTTTACGTTTGGAAGGGTTTGACACTCATTAATTAATTTTTAAGATAATATATTCAAAATACCATAGGTGCGTTTTAATAAAAGCCTTAAATTTTTTGATGCTTATAAATATGATATAAAGTTTCATAGTTATATAGAAGATAACTCAAAGAGATTTGACTGTATAACTTTATTTATTATCTGTTTAAAAGTTAGACGCTTTCCAATTAATTACCCATTAGTTGCCATATCTGCATATAAGTTTTTATTTAAACACTTTAATCAATACTATACAACATGTATTTTTTTTTTAAACTATAATAATACATGAAACATGATATAAAAAAGAGCATTTCTTTAATCACATGTTATTGTCATGGCCATAAATTCATATCGTTGTATTTGATGCCATAAAATCACATTTTAAATGAGATAGATACTATATGTTCGCAATAAGATTCGTAAACCCAAAGTCATTAAAAAAGATACTTGTAATATTATGGTAATGAACCCAAAGCTCATTCTGATGAAATGCGATATCAATTATATGGATACAAATTACCAAATCGATGATTTGAAGCCGAGAACTCTGTGAACATGACGTTTGCCTATTCATGAATTAGCATTATCATTCACTTCAAGTAAATACACTATGTTTTTATTCATGTTTGGCTCGCTATTTGGAATGGTTTAAGGGCAAGTTTTGCTTTATATATCTATAATGTTTATTAGAACAAAGTAAATATACAAGCATATCAGTTATAATGAATTGACGATAAAACGTATAAATAAAATACATACCCGTTGTGCCAATCTTCCAACATTTCCATCAAAACTAACAACTTCCCATGCTAAATCTACACCAAACATCATCTTAATTCCATATACAATACGTTTAGCATGGATTTCCTTCATGAGTATGTAGTCATCGCTTGTAGTATGTGGGATTTTACTATCAGAATAGTCATTTTTTGTAGTATGTATACTATCAGAATCAAGAACTCTTTGTACTAATGTGAGAATTGTTTGTTCAATGACATGAAGATCATCTGATTTTGGTACAATTGCTAATAATAATTGCATATAAAGAATTAAGATCCAAATGACGTAAAGACAAATAAAAATTCAAACGTTATCAATATTATTAATATTATTAATGTCAAGTTTACCTGCAATTTCGAATGGTTGAGAAATAGCCATGACATTGTATTTGTTATCGTGATGATACCTAAATTCGTAGGTACCGATTTCCCATGGTAAAAGGTCCCCTTTAAACCACATTTCACCACTATCAACAAGTTTATCATTATCATTGTTATTTAAACTATTTGTGACCGAGTGGAGATATGATTCTTCCTCTTCCTCAGGTGATACGTAAACAAATCGTCCTCTACTTGAGGCCTCTGTAACTTTTTTAGATGAATTGGAAGTGACCTTATATATTCCAATCCAATCTCTACGAGCATGATTTTTGGGTGCTGTCCATGATATATGTATTGGTGTTCCAAGCTCGAATATTATTGGTTTCGCTTTTATATTACCATCTTCTGAGTTTTGTAGTGAAGATAAATTAGCCATACCTTCCGACAATGGAAGAGCAATGGAATAATGCTTAGAGTCGTCATCACCCTCGTCAACTTGGCTATATAAATTAGAAACAAATAAATAAGTAAAATCGAGGTTGTAATTTTGGATTTACAGATAAAAAAATCCTTATTACCGAATCATAAATCTATTCCCTGAAATTCTAAATATTTTAAGCAAAGAACGAGTTTCAGATACGACTTCATTTAATCTCGGTTTAGCAGCTTCAACAAATACACCAACAACTTCAGCTGTTTCTTCCATAATTCTTTCGGCTACTTCTTTAACGATTCGTTCAACTGCTTGAATCTCATGAACAACATCCTCGCCAAATTTTCCTCGAAGGAATTTGGCACGCTTTATAGTTTTAATGACACCAGCTTCTTTGCGGATTTTGTCACCATATAATTTTTTCATATGAGGACTCTCAACATATCGCAAGAACAAAAGATTTGAGACTTGAGCAAACAATGCCAAGCCAAAAATAAACCAACTATTTGCCATAAGGGTGATACCCCAAAATGCAGCTTGACCCATGAGTTTCTCAGGATTGTTAAAGAAACGATAAATACCATTATAATATAATGTTGTGGGATAATCGAGGAAAAAGTCACCATAGAACCAGCCAAAATCACCAAGACCTTCAAACACAGAAACTGATGCCCATATATGTAGAGCTATCAACAAAGCACCAAAAGTATGGCGTAACAATACCATACCATAAGTCCAATCTTTAGGGAAATAATACATCTTCCAAGCAGCACAGATAAATGTTGCATATGTCATACATAAAGAGAGATTATATATGCTGAGAATCCAAAAAAAGAACATTAAAAGATAAGTATTTCAAATAAAAGATACCACAAATTAGTAATGTACATAAAGACGCACCTCTTCCAGTTAGCAAATGCATCACCAACAGTACCACCAAATTTAATATAATGTTTTGTTAAAAATTTTTCCTTGCTTTGGTAATATAAAATAGCACCTAATATATACGAATGAAATATCCTCCATGCAACACATTGTATGAAGAAGAAAGGTTTAACAAATTTATCGGAAGCGCCGGCAATTAATAACGGGATGATAGTGGCATAAACTATAATGATGACGACAAAAAGGTCATTTGAACGTAAAAGATCAAAATTCTTAAATACTATAAGATCACGTCGAAACCGATGGCTTAGTGTAAGAGATAAATCCGGGACAGAAGGTTGGATGGTGTCATTTGATGCATTAGTATTTGGTATAACCAATTTTGTTAGTTTAGCATTGAGAGGCGTTGGCGGATTATATGTTTTGTCAATATCTGCGTACGAAGGAGAAAATCAAAGCCGTGTGAATTAAAATGGAACAAATTGATATATTTGTTGAATTTAACTTACGAGGATTCTCGACGAACGATAAAAAGGCCAATTGTAAAGCGTGAGCAGCCAAGCTTACAAACAATACAGTGTAACTAGCCATCATCAAAGATATGCCATAATAGCCAATATATCCGACAGAATACATTGGATGTGGTGCCATTTCAAATACACCCTCAAACGTTAGTGATTGGTCAACAAGGAAAAAGAAGTCACCCCAATCTACAATGAATACAATCAGGGGTCAATCAAAGAAAAAAAAGGAGTCGAAAAAACAATTAGGAAGAAAAGAAAACCTAAAACAATTACACCAAGCGTAATCCTTGACAACGCGATGAGCATCTCTTTTCACCCAAATGTTAAACCATAACAAAGATAAGCCACCAATCCAACGTAAGATATTAATGATTATGCCAGAATTTTCAGGAATATTAAAATTAGCAAGTGCAAAGCAGATGTACGAGGTGAAATCATTCAAAAGAATGAGATCAACCAATTGACGGAAAAGTAGCCAAGTGTTAAACTCCAAGGGAACCTCCTGTAAACAATGAAATCAAATATCATTAGTAAAATGAATTTAATATAAAGAACAAATATATGTTACGATTTGTAAAAAATTTACATCGAAATTATAATCATCACCCATTTTACCACTCAATTCCTCTTTAAAGAATTTATACCACTTTCTACCTTCTTTTTTATCAAAAATCTTTAGACGTTTGATCCATGATACTAATCCATGTTTATCACTTTGATATTTCAGTAACATGCCCAGTCCAACGTTGTATGCAAGTCTCCAACAGATGAAAAGAGATAAGAAAACCCATTGTTTGATATGTGGAGGAAGAACAAAAAATAACACGATCTGAAAACCCATGATTGCCAAGATCATTGCATCAAACGCGGATTTTTTAGAATTAGGTTCGAAAATAGAGGTTAACATGTCAGCAGTTTGTGGAACTTTGAATTCTGTGAGGGTAATATATTTTAGGAATAATAATGAATTAAAAGGAACACGTAAAAGGAATAAATTTTAACTTAAGCATCTAATCTATAATTTGATTATTAATAAAATTTTGCTAAGAATATAAAAATGTTGCAACGTGTATCAAAAAATCGTATGCATATGATTTGATATCAATCCTGGTTTTTATTAAATGGTATAATACCTTCTCCACTCGGCGTCTTTCCATTGACAACATTATTTTTTTTTTTTATATCGTCATTTTTTAAAACGGGTCGATTATCTTTGGCATTTATTGCTAAATTATCAGCTGTTCTTTGCCGAAGCTCAGTGGCAGAACTCATTATATTACAAAGTTTTTTCTTTAATGACAAACGTAAAGAAGAGAGTCCGCGCTTTTATTTTTTTTTTTTTGTCCGTGAGGACATGTGATGCTTCACAACATGACAAAACCGGAGTTTGATCATCGTACGACTGTTGTCTATTTGCCTATTATAACATTCTGAGAAAATCTTCGCATGTAAATCATAGGCGAACAGTTGTTTACCATTTCTTTTTCGTTGCCATAACAAAGCACAAATTAATGTAATCTTTCATCATCGTCTAAAAAAAGAAACTTTTGTGATTTATGCAAAAGGTACAGGGACAAAACAAATGCATAAATTACTTCAATATTTGATATTGTTCAATAAACAGTGGAAACGTTCAAAGTTACACGAGTGTTCTTGTATTTTCACATGAGAATTAGCCAATCAAATCATAAATTTTAAAAATACAAAACGAAGCAAAATTAATGCTATAAACAAATTTAATTACATATTTTGCCACCAAGTAAGCAAATATATCTTTATTCGTTTATTAATTAGACAATAAACAACTTCGAATTATTACAATATATAGAAACCCCAATAATCAACGTCTAATTCTATGTCAAATATAATCCGAAACCCTATATGCACATATTATATAGTCTCATTACATGATCTCTAATACTCGACAGTTATGCTATTGTAATAGTTTTATACGTATGCGTTCTTATTTCTATTTTAAGAAAAAAGTATGTAGTTAGTTCATATTTATTAATTAATATGTACATAGATTTGCTTTGAACTTTTAAAAGATTTATTTATGAAGATTTAAATAAAAGATTGTGCGAACTACAGTCTAACACACATTACTCTTGTTGAATCGTTGCTTTCAACTTTTCTTTGATTTTACCATCCAAACGTTGTAGTTGGTATTCCATAATTGCTTACTTCTACATATACTTTGTCATATAAAAGTTGTGGATTCAAAGGGATTCAACTGATATTGTTAGTTCACTTAGTAATCTTGCTTATGTTTCATAGAGAGAAAGGCCTCGTGAAAAAGTACTTTAAAATGTATAAATTACGATTATCATGAATCGTGTAACGTCCTTCTATTTTTAAGTACTTGTATTCATGTGAATTGACGTAGAAATCAGGCATTTACCAATTTTTCCCCAAAGTTTTGATTTTGGTCACAATCAAAAACATTTATCTCAAAAATTATTCTAAGAAATTCCCTTTTGCAAAATTTTGGTATAATGCTGCCCACTAACCTTAACCCAAACCCTAACCAAGATGTCACATGTAAATTGGTACGAATAATCCCGGCCAATAGAAACTTTGGAGGGAAATTAAGAGTTCTAAGAACATCATGTGATTATGAAGTTTCTGATATAAGTGCGTGAGAGTGAAAACCTAGAAACCGATTTAATGATTCACTATGATTGGTTTGCAGGTTTTCACTCATGCACTTATATATAAAAAATAAAAAAATGGGGATGATGCATATCGATATTTTGACTATTTGGAGATTAAAACATACTTTTTATACAAAGTCAGGGCTGATAAATTCATTTCCGTCAAACAGTATCTGTGTGACAAATAATGTACAATGATTCCTTAAAATAATATTTATACAGTGGCAACAAAAAAAATTTTTTTAGACAATATTTTACGCAATTCCGGGTCTTTTCTTCTTTATTTTATTCACAAATAGTATCTTTTTTAAATATTAAAATTTTAATAGCTGTTATGCGAAGATAATCACACACAGCTGAAATGCGCAAAATTCTTTGAAGTTCATTGATGTTTAGGTTAACATTTGTATTAAGGTTAGATATTAGCAAAATGTCTAATAAAATCGTTCAAGAAACCTTTTTGAAACCTGATTGGTAACCTGTCACACATTTCGCATTTATTACAAATCACGTGTCGCATTATTTTAGATCTTACCCAGGATCGCCAACAAAATTTTGCAATCATGTGATATCGACAAAAATTATTTAATTTAGGGTAGTGTCTATATTTTAATAGGATTTTTAGAAATTCTAATAGCAAAATCGCTCAAGGAAAACTTTTTGTTAATGCGCAGACGGTGATTTCTTATGCAGGTTTTTAAGAAATAAGCGATTTTTGACAAATCGAACGTTTGTTTTGAACTTTCCTGATCGTGTTACGTTACACTAAATCGTGATTAACAATTGGATAATTTGTCGTCGATCTTCATGTGACTGCAAAATTTTGTTGGCGATCCTGGGGTAGTTTTATTTTAGACAAAGATCAGATGATTGTTACTGCATTACCTAAGTACATTGTTATTCTTGTGTTTCTGTACTATGATAAAGCATTTAATAAAGTTTTAACAAACAAAAAAACTTATATGTTACAATATAAGTTTTTTTACCGTTAAAGTGGTATGTCATAAAATAATAAATCAGGCACATAATATTGGTTTCTTAAAATTGTTGTACATTATACTTAAAAAATTAATAAAGATTAAGTTGTTTACTTATTGTTATTACTAATGCTAATGCAAAACCTACATTTTTGATACTTCTGTGTCTACTTTTTTGATACACCTAGATGTACTCTAAAGTTTATATATTTTTTTAATACACATATGTATAATATATACATAATTTGCTATTTTATAGTAGCATAATAGAAGTTTATTAAAAATAAAGTATACTATGTTAAAATTATATATAAACTTAATAATAATTTTTTTTTATATTTAAATTTATAAAAAACTATATTAAGTAAACTAATTTGAATAATTAAGTATAAGTTGTAAAGTAGGTTTTTCTAATTCTAATGATAGCAAAATTATTAAAATTGAGTAAAAATTCATTAAAATATTAATTTTTAAACATTAGAATATAAAATTATATAATAAAATTAACTTATAGACTTATGTAAATTAAATAATTAAATTCTTTAATTTTGTATTATCTAAGAAAATTTTAACTAATCTAAGAAAATTTTATCATATATACAAATATATTTTTTTAAAATAACATAATAATTCAAAATTTTATTATAACAAATAAATAATTTATTTATAATATTATAAAATTTTTTTCTTAATTAATTAAAAAATAAAACAGTTTTATTAGTAATATATATTAATTTTAGATAAAAATTTTAAAGAGATATACAAAACTATATCAAAATAATCTATATATACTTTATTTTTAAAATTTTACTAATTTATTAAAAGTAATTCTAATATCAATAATATTAATATATTTTATTTAAATTTTATAAAAATTTTATTAAAAAAATAATAATCATATATCAAAAACTCTCTTCACTGATCACTTATACATAAACTGCAAGAAAACAATTTAGAAGTTTGCCAACAAATGACTGTCTAAATGAACTTTATAGATTTAAGAAAAAGATAGAACTAGTAAAGAAGGTATAACAAGAGCAAGAAAGAAAAAATTTGGATAACCTGCTAAGAAGATAGAACAGAAAATGCCTTGGTTAATATTAGAAAAACAGAATTTGGGAAATTCTCTGTAACCTGAAAATGCAAATCTGTAGATCACTGCAATATGTGTACAAAAGAACAAAACAAACATGTAAATTAGTCAACATGCAAATAAACTTAATTAGAATAGTAATAAATATAAACATAAAAAATTTCAGAACAACAAGTAGCAAACAGAAACCACTGGTATCTAGATAAGAAAATGAGTAGTACATAAAATCGAAAAGAAAATCTAATGACAATCTATATTAAGAGAGCATATTAGGTAGCAAACAATATATACAACAAGATGTTTTTCAATCAAGCAAGCAAACTATTTGCAACATCAGACAGAAAAGATGAAATTGTTGCTATGCTAACAGAACAAGACCCAATAGAGGTTGCTCTGCTACATATAACTAGAAAGATAATCATAAAGGCAGAAGAAGAACAACCAGAAAAAAAAAATTAATATTAACAAACAAAACAAAAATGCTACAATAAAAGAACTAGCAATAGTGCAATCACAGGACAAAGATAAAGATATATAGCAACAGCCAAACAAAGCAAGCAGAAATTAAGAAGAATCATACAAAGTAATACAAGAAAAGAAGACAGAAAATAAAAAAATAGTAGAAAAAAAACTACAAAACAATAGCAGTTTACAAAAAAAAATATAGAGGTAAGTTTAATAAACAAGGACCAAATGAAAGAAAATTTGCCTACTCAAAGGAGAAATGTAGAAGAACAAGAAGAGAAGCAAGAACAAGAAGACATTAGTAAGAAAATTGAAAAAGAAATCAATATATTTGGAGAACTCTTAGAAGAGAGCATGTGGACCCCAAACAAAAGAAACTCCAACCAAAACAACAATTTACTTACTAAAATAACAGTGCATAATGTATCTGACAAAACAAAAGAAGATCGTATGAAATTTATCAGGTGGTCTCTAAGAAACAACATGCATGTTAAAGATATTAAAAAAATTTTCAAAAGGGGAAATTTATGAATAAAAGTAGACTTCGACTGCGAATATAGCAAAAGTAAAGCAATACAAAGAATCAGCAAGAAGAAGAGTAACTGGTACAAAATAATACTAGAAGAAAAAGAAGAAGGTAGTAGAAGAAAACAAACACAATACAATGAGAAATACCAGAAGGAAAGGAACAATGAAGCAAGAACCAGAGAAGAAGAATCTGAGCAGAAAGTAAATAAAAATAAGACAAACAAAAGCTAATGCAAAATAAATGAAGAATTAGAGGACACAAAAGACATAACAATCTGGAACTTGCCAATAAACATAAACAAGAAAGAAGTAGAATATATCTGCAAAAGATTTAGAAAAGCTTACTTAGTAAGAATTAAAAGGTCAAAGTATAAGGCCTTAGCTATTGTACAAATAGAAAAAACATATAAGAACATACCATGGGCTATATCAGTAAACAATAACAAGCTAGTATGAGTAACCAAGAGAATAGAGGACCATAAAGCGAGAGAAAGACAAAGAAGATATACAACAAAACTGACAGAATTACCAGGAAGCTGCTCAAAAGTTCTACGA